CAATCTGGGCATGCTGGAATCATAACTACTGTTTCGCGGCCTTGCGTTTGGAATCTCGGGTTTCTGTTGTTCCATCACTTATAAAACACGCCTTCGTCCCGATTTGTTGCTTCCACTGGGGTTTTGCTTCAGTTTGTCAAATTGCAAAGTTTACCTAAGGATTTTTGTTTGGGAGTTGATGGATTTATGACTGAACTTTTTTGGAGTCGAGGACTGTTAGTCATAAATGCTCTGAAAGCATGATATTTTTAGACTGTAATATTTTAAGATCTGATCAGAAGCTCTTGAAATCCTTTTTGCAAAATGAAACGCCTGATCTCATCCAAGTGATTATAATTAATTCCCAGCTTTGGTGTCATTAATCTGTTAATTTCCCTCTATTCTGTTGTTTTTACTATTTGATAATCAGATGTTTCGTCAAACAAATCAGGCATGTAAGATTTGGCACACATCCTTTGCTTTTGCTTTTTATTTTTGGTGGGCTCGTGTTTTGGAAAATAAATCTTCTGAATTGTCTAACAGTTTAAGAGCGAATGCACAGAAAAATCAAGCAAAATCGCCAAACTGCGGCCACAGTTCAAAACCTAACCCACCCTCATTTTCGGTTTATAATAAGGTTTTAATGAGTTTATAACACTGCTGGTGTTTTAATTTAAAATGCGGCCGTGTTTGGAAACTATTTGAAATTTTCGATTTCAATGGTCCACGGGCCCAAAATTAGACGCCGAACACGGCAAATAGCCCAGTGACAGAATTGAGCTGACTTTCATAAACCAGCGAATATATTGGCAATCGTCCACTGAAATTTCACAGAACAGATATCTAGCAACTTCAAAACGGCACATTTTTCAATTTCGACAAGAAAATATCACCGAACAAGCACAGTTCTGATACTTAATTTGCATAATGCTTATAAATACAACAATTTACCGCTAAAACCAAAACCGAATTTTCTATATGGGGGAATTCTCCAAATCACCCCAAATCCCGGTTACTACCCAAACAGAGGTAGTACTTGAACGTTAACTGAAAATCAGTCTGGTGTTCTTGCGAACGCCTTAAAAATAGATTGATTATTCTGAGGTTATTTTACCCTAATTGACTCTAGGGTCAATCAACAAGTGCAAGTCATGCTAGTTTTACACGCCAATTTAAGCTCATTTGAAGTAAAAACTGACAAGATTATTTTTATATGTACCTGTCTTAATGAAAGTCGAGTATAATCTTCAAAAGGAGAGGCCGTTCAATGTGTGATTTCTATTCTTGAGATCTTGTAGATTGGAGCATGGTGTCTGTGAGCGGACCTGAGGCTAGGTCTGTTTTGCCGTGACTGCGTAATCGGAATAACATCAAGAAATAATTCTCGCTTGAGTGTTAATTCTTAAATGAATAAACTTTGCAGTGCCTTTTTTACCTGTGTTAAAATGCCTAGTAGGAAAACATCCAAGCGCAATTTCGATTCTTTGTATCAAGCCCGGCAGGAACGGTTCAGTAGTAAACAAATCCAGGACCTTTCATTGCATGACCAGGTAATATTAACGATTGTCTCCAGCAAAAAATAGTCTTTAATATGTTTTTGTGTATTTTAGGAGTTTGATAGTATAAACTTTAACTAGCTTTGGTTAAACTTTTGACAAAGCATACCTTCACAAGAGTATAAGAATTTTTCGAGGCATCCACATCTAAAGGGTGGGTCGATACCTGTGAGGGCAGGGGATAAGATGGGGATGGTGAGTTGGCAGTAGGTGTCAGTTGGTCATGGGGAGGAGGGGTCGTTTTCACATATGGGAGCGTCACCTGGGAGAAGTTTTAATAAATTTATTGAAAGAGCATGAATTGAAATTTTATGTGCCATAAACAGTAAACACCGATCTTATCCTTGGGCACGATTTCCAGCTAGAATATTCTTATTGTCCACACTGAGGGGGGTGGGGGATCACTTTCACAGTAAATATGTAAAAATGTATGGTGAGTGGGGTCATTTCTTAAAAGCTAGGATGAATTGGGTGGTGTGTTTGAAAATCTTCTAAGCTTTCTCAACTAGGTGCGACCAGCCACTAAATAACTCCTTTCCCCCTCCCCATATGTCCACTTCTTTCCCATTGTTTTTTGCATAAGGCTTTTACGCCTTTGTATTGTTATTGGCACATAAAACCGATCGTAAAGGGCCTGGATCAGGCACGTTATTGACAAGAAACACCACTGGAAACATGTGCTAACACTGTTGGGCTTTGTAAGCTTTACAATAATGTCTTGCGTTCCCGCCGCCTCTCCTCGCATAGAACAAAACAGAACAGTGTTTTTGAGGCGCCCAAAGCACCCAAAACACTTACGATCCCATGTAAAGGAGGGCAAATGTCTCCCAAAACATTATTCAAGTATAAAGATACGGTGACAATGGAGAACCGGCACAAGCGCGCGTTTTCTCCGAAGGTAATATTGGATTGCCCACACACCGTTACGCGATAGTTTTCCTCGTTAACCCAGAAGTTTGTCCAGG